CCCCAAAACCCCAAAACCCCAAAACCCCAATTGACTTCAATCTACGTAGAAAATTGCATTAGATTATTAATTAAGTTTATGATTATTGCCTAAAACTTGACTGCTTAAGTTTTTCATTAGATTTCGTTGATCAGCATCATCTTCTCCTATCGTCTCTATCCCTAGATCTTCTTCTATCTCTAGAATCTCTATGATCATCTCTCGAATCTCTTCTTTTTCTATCTCTATCATTCTACTCTCTTACCCTATCTCTAACTTTATCACGTTCATCTCTATCTCTTGATCTACTTCTTTCCCTTTTTTTATTCTCCTCACTTCTTTTCTATTTTTTCTTTTGTTCTGAATCACTATCATCACTTTAACTTTCCTCTGAGACACTACTCAAATCACTGTTATCATCCTCACTACTGCTGCTGTGTCTTCTCTTTTTCTTATCCTTTTTACTCTTTTTACTCTTCTTTTTCTTTTTATCTTTCAGATTTGTTTCCTATACTTCTTAAATTTGTTTAATTTCCTCTTCCAGCTCCTAGGTCTTGCCTTATTTGATCATATCTGCTTGCTTCATGAGTTCCTCCATTTATTACTTCTTTTTAGCCTCTTTTTTAGCTTTCTTTTTTTCTTTCTTAATACGATCTAACTCTGCCAATCTATCTAGCCTTTTGTTTTCTTGTAATTCCAAATCAAAAGCTGCTCCGAACTCATGCTTCTCTGAAATACCTAGAGCATTTTTAAGCTTTTCCATATGCTTCTCTTTTGCTAAGGCAGCCTAATGACTCTCTTTAGTATTTATCATTGTTGGAGCTTGCTTTAACTTTTGAGTCATATGAGCTCTGGCATCCTCTAGCGATTTCTTAATTTCCTCTTCACTCATATTATTCATAGCTCTTAGCTCTTTTTCTAACTTAAACAATTGAGCTTCAATTTTTCTTTTTTATTCATGCTCTATTAAATCTTTGTTAGGCGGTCTTGGAGGCGGCAGAGGATTATCCTATGAAAATTAATTTAAATTATGATAATGAGCATACCTTTAATTACTAAAGGATTTTACCATAGTCCATATTCTTAGCTTTGGCACCTGGGGCAACATATGAGAGATTTTTTTGTATATAACCACTTGTACCGGAACCTCTTGGTGTGGTTAATCCAACTCCATTGTACATTTCAAATATTTTTATAATTTATTAATAACTATTATTTCTAATGAATTACCTTATATTTTATCAATCGGGGTTTTGGGGTTTTGGGGTTTTGGGG